GGGAAAATCATTGCAGAGAATCAAACTATGAAAAAATACAATACAACTATGCAAGATCCTCATATATCGTATTCTAATATTTTATAGCTGAAGCTGAAACTCAAAATGTTTTTTTTTGCAGGTTCCAAAATAAAACATTTATTTTGGACTTTTTTGTAATCAAACTTGAACTATATATTTGTTGTGATTTTTCTATTAAAAAGCAATTGTATTATATCTTATGAAATGGTAGGGTTGAACTGAAATTTAAAAACAGCATGAATTCTTTATCAGATGAGTTCTTTTTTTATTCATCACTTTTGCCAATAGCCGAAGATTTGATAAGCAATGTCAAAAATTATAACAATCAAGATGAGTTAATCAGAAGAAATTGCTCAGAGCATAGTGACTTGATATATTCATTTGATTCCTTCCCGTTTTACATGTAGACCGTTTTCCTCCTGTCTTCAACTTGTCAAACAGGCCGTCCGCTTGTCGATTTTGTTTACTGACCTCACATCACAATCTTTGCCATTTTCTGAGCTGAATTATCGCACTTGAAATAAAAGGAGTGTAAAAATCTAAGACAATGATATGCGTATTTTCATAATCAAGAAGGAAGCCGAGCTGAACTTCATTTGACAAAGAATCAGAAGTAAGAAAATAATAAAAAATGAAAGCCATTAGCTCAAAATTTAATATCCATTGGCTCCGTAAATTTTTAGTATTTAACACTCCCATTTTCATTTATGATCATACTTTATGATCGCAAAAATAAAGAACTCTGGCGATATTGCGGTATATCGAAAGGAATAACCACCAAAACTGTTCTATCTTCCGACGAAGTGCATTTAACAACAGCATCGCTTGCGAGTCTCCAAACGATTTTGAAAAAGAAAATCATCTACAAGAAGTTCTGTGTAAAAACTGATAGCGAGGGCTACTCGAATATATACCACTGCGGCAACAACACTTGTCGGTGTCATCATTTTCACAAAGACTGAATTTTCTATTGATACCCTTTAGGTATCGCCAGATTTGATGTCTTTGTGAATTCACATCTATAAATAAAACCGTTTTCTCCCGCTGGTCATCAAGTACCCTTAAGGTCCCAAACAACTGTTTTCATAACCCTAACACTGATACTTCAGTCCTCAATCGGCGCCCTTTAGGTACCACCCTGAGGACTCGAGTACACTTTCTAAACCTTCATCCCCCAAACACAGTTTCCACAGAGATAAGAGGACGTAAACATAAATAAAACTGAGAATGTCAAAGGACAAAAAACCTCGCAAAACATGCAAGAAACCCATAAACGAAAATGACCCAATATACAATTGCATCACCTGTAATTGCTCTATGCACCTTGAAGTTGTCTGCACTGGCCTCTCGACCGTTGCACTCAATGGAATACTGGAACTTGGTAACAACGCACTACTGATATGCAATACCTGTTTGTCCAACGGAAAAAGAGATCAAGTAATCAGAAGCACAGCATCACATGACAAAAGTGAAAACATCAAAAAAATTGAAGAAGAAATTTCAAAACTAAGTAAAGTAGTAGCCGAAGTCTCGACAAAAATGGAAAATATTAAAGATCCCATCCAAAGCCTGCCAATAGCAGAACAGGGTAAAACCTGGTCACAAGTAGCGGCGCAAAACATAATCAAACCCCTGAGCAAAAGATTGAGAATAAGAGGGGTCCCCGAGATCAAGGAAAGAGATGGAAGAAAAAGACTTGACCATGACTATGATGAGGTAAATAAAATCATGAAATTCTTAAACCTCGAATGCAATATCACTGATCTCAAGCGTGTGGGAAAGTTCAGCGAAGAACGAGCAAACCACAGAACTATACTGGTACGAGTAACCTGTCCAAGAGAAATAGACTTGATACTATCATCAACACCGGCCCTCAAAAATTATGACAAAAATGTCTTCATAAGTAAGGAACTCTCAGTCGAAGAAATGAAACTGGAAAACGCCATCCTGAGAGAACGTAGAAATCTCATCAGCAGTGGTAAAAACCCCAAAAATCTTCGAATCAGAAACCTAGAACTGCATGATAAAGTAGACGACTCCTGGACAAAAATTACAATTAAACCGGAGGCAAACAGCACAATTCAGACTAGAAATGACAACTGACTAGAATCGCTGAATGTTATGTCATTCAATACACGAAGTATACTGGATATAAATAGACGTATGAAAATTAGCAATATAAAACTATCGAACGATTATGACATCATTTGCTTAAGCGAAACTTGGTTTACTGAAAATATCCCTGACAACGCGCTTTTTCTGCCTGCACACATAATAACTAGATGTGATAGACCTACCAACTCAACAAAATCGAAACACGGGGGCGTGCTTATTGCTGTTAAGCAATCCCTAGCTTTCACAAAACTTGAAATACACACTACGGACTGCGTTGGACTCCTCCTTAACACTCCGACACCTCTCATCCTATGCTGTATCTACAGTGCCCCGAACGAAAGCAAATATAAGCTATCCACAGATGACTTCAACAAACTATTGAATATGCTAACTGACTACTCAAATGAATTTCAATGCCCAAATATTTTATTGGTTGGTGACATCAACTTCGCTAATACGCATTGGCAAACCTTGCAATCAACCCAAAAACACGAACAATTAGTACTGCAGACTTTTACTGATATGAACTTTCAACAGTTTATCGAACCCCCTCATGACCAATTAGATATTGTCCTTTGCAACAACCCCGACATTATTTTAAACACCACGATAGACAACCATATGAAAAAACACTTCTCACACCAAGAAAGAGAATTATCAGACCACAACCCTTTTCTAATCACGATATCATCTCTTACACACAATGACGAAAAAGCCACTCCCATACAACACGGATCCGACTTTCTGGACTTTGGTGTCTTCTCATTAAACAACGTCGATTGGATTACTTTAAACAAATACATTTTGGAACACCCATTTCAACCGTACTGCTACTCTAACATTGACCACTTAATCAACTCATGGTACCTCTGGCTATATATAGCACTAGAAAAACACATGAAACAACAGACCAAACACCGTATGAACCTAGCACCTTGGATCACACCTGAAACCTCCAATATTATCAAAAGACTCAACACAGCATCAAAAAAAGTAGCCTTTAAAAATACTCATACTAATAACCGCAATCTTGAAAGACTTAAAAACCTTGTAGATCATTTATCCGAATTAGATCAGAAAAATTTCGAAGAATCAACTTTCAAGGGCAGAAATTTCTCAAAGCTCCAAAAATACTTTAAAAGCATACGAAAAAACTCAAGTACTCCAAAAACCGAATCAACAGAGCACGGTAAAGCTAATCTTCTAAACAATTACTTCGTAAGCGTTTTTAACATTAAACAGAATGAAAACATTTTACCAATAGCTGAATTACCTGGCTCAATCAAATGCTTCAATTTCTCTGAAAATGAGATATACGACATCCTTAAAACATTAAACCTCCAAAAAGCAAGAGGACCAGATAGACTCGGTAACACAGTCCTAACCAATTTAGCAGATAGCATAACTTCATCTCTAAAACTGATTTATAACACCATCACCAACAAAGCAACATTTTCAACGATCTGGAAACTTAGCCAAATCATCCCAACTTTTAAAAATGGAAACAAGCAATCGGTCACAAACTACAGGCCCATCAGCCTGCTAACTGCAGTATCCAAAGTCTTAGAGAAACTGATCTTCCTTAAAAACTCACCAAAGATCTTCTCACAAATCCATGACAGCCAATTTGGCTTCTGTCCTAAACGATCGACAACTCTGCAAATGCTCCAATTCCTCGACAAAATCTATGATGACTTTGATAACCCTAATATCAAGTCTCTACAGGCAATATACTTAGACTTCGAAAAGGCTTTCGACAAAGTTCCTCACGACTTGTGCATATATAAACTCAATAAATTTGGCATATCAGGAAACGCACTTAAACTATTAGCAAACTACTTAACCAACAGAAAACAGCAAGTACGAATAGGTGCGGCAGTATCCAGCCATCTTGAAGTTAGTAGCGGCGTACCTCAAGGCTCACTGTAAGGGCCAGTATTCTTCATCACATTCATCAACGATTTACCGTCATCACTCACCAACTCGTGCTATGGTTACGCAGACGATTATAAAATTGTTGCAACGAACCCTTCTCTGCTCCAACATGACCTAATCACGATCAACTTATGGTGCAAAGATAATTCCATGAGTCTTAATTTGAAAAAATGTCACAATATAATATTCAAAGACCCCCAACTTGACCTAAACATGTATCTCGGTGACCATATACTTGAAAAAACCTGTTCAGAAAAAGACCTTGGTATACAAATAACCAACAACCTAAACTGGTCAGCATACGCAAAAATAAGAGCCCAAAAAGCAATAGGCTGCTTATTTTTAATTAAAAGAAATATTTCAAAATCAGCGAGCTTAAAAATGAAACTGAACTCCTACTGTGGATATGTAACCCCAATTGTGTCATATGGCTCACCCATATGGAAAGCAAATAAGTGTGAATTAAAAATTATTGAAGATGTCCAAAGAAAAGCTACACGTTGGATACTGTCATGTAACAACATCAACTATAAAGACAGACTGATTAGATTAAACCTGCTCCCACTGTTTCTCTACCATGAAATGCACGACATTCTCTTGCTTCATAAAATAATAAACGACCAATACAACTTCCATTGGAGACAATTTGTTCAGTTCAAAGAATCTACAGCCCCAACAAGAAGATCAACGAAAAATAACTTAGCGC